TCAGCCATCTAAGTGGATACTCCGCAGGATGGAGGCAAGAGTGGAGAGGAGAGGGAGGGTGCTGCAGTCTTGGAGATGTGAGGGAGTGACTGGGAGAAGACAGTGATAGGGCTTGGTGGTGCAAGGGGTTAAGTCTCAGCACTATGAAGCTATTCATAGCCACTATAGCATGAGTTCTATCCCTGGCTAAGAAGGTGACCCTGGCACAGCAGACCTCTCCTGTCTTGCCCACTGCTCCTCTCAGCAGCATATTAATCAGTTAATCCTCTTGCTGCTCCCCACTCTGTCTCTGGTGAATCCTCTCACTCCCCCCACACCCGCACATCTGGCCTGTACCCCAGCTCTTGTATGCATAAATAAATAAATCTTGATAAAGAGCCAGAAAGTATAAGCCTCAAAGAAGTTAAAGGTATTATTAAATTCACTGCAGTAACATAACCTACAGGCATTCTACCAAAAATGTCTTATAGCCTCAAATTTTGGAAAGCAAGATGTCATGAAAAAAAAAAAAAAACCCAAAACAAACAAAAAAGAAATCAGGTTCTTTGCTTGGATGACTTTTTATGGTCTGGGATGTTAGAATGGAAGGGATCATTGACTCAACACTTCTAATCCTGGTGCATTATAGATAGAAAAACTGATGTCTACACTCACCCAAGGCCAATCTGTCCCAACTAACCTTCATAGTCCAAGTGAGAATAGTGGGAGGTGAACAGAGAGAGCATCTTGGGAGTCTGTCTGTCTTCAAGGGTCACACATAGGACTGACCTGGTGTACCTGCTGCAGGTTTTAACCTATGCTCACTTTGTTACATTCTTCTTCAAAGGCAAGGTCCAACATGGACCCTCCTGGCTCTAGGATTTAATTCCTTTTGAGAAGACACTGAAACATGAGCTGTCATCCTTATAACTTTAATATCCATAAGCCTGGTTAGGGGAAGTTCTTTGCTCTCCATGCTCACGTGAGAATGGTCAAGAGAGACAAGAGAGTGACTTGAGTATGCAAAAGAACCTGGAATGACCTTTGACATCAGGAAAGGGTAGTTTCTGCAGTGTTTTGGTCATGCCTCATTTAAAGCTGAGTTTCTAAAACTATGGGCTAGCTGTGTAGAATGAAATTAATGTAATAGGTGGTAACTACATTAAACAAATAACAGAACAGGAAAAAATCAGATGCATCAGCTTTTGAAATCTTTCAGTTTTTCAGGAGTGTGTGTGTGTTTGTGTGTACTTATTGGGTCCCATATAAGCTGAAATTATTCAAACAAATTGAAAATTCTAAGGGATGTATTATTTTACCATATTTTTATTACCAATCACGATTAACTTTAACCCTGTGGTAATTTCAAAAACAATTCAGTGGAACTTCTTTTTAAAGGCTTGAAAATTTATTTAAATAAGTGACTATGCCTCATTTCCTAGTATGCTCTGGAACTACTTGTAATTGTTAAGTTTATTTCTCAAGATGATAAGTATCAAAATTTATTACCGTTGTGAGAACAAGTATAATCTTGTGAACAATCATGAAATTTTAAATGAATGGCAAGACTAAAAGAGGCAATTTTTTTTTCAGAGGCTGTAATTATCTACTTTAAGATTTATGGATAAGTAAATGATCATTTTTATCTTCACATCTTTCTTCTTAGTCATTCATCACTAACAAAATTCATTTACTTAGCAAAAGGCACATAGCAATCTGTTGGACTTCACTGGCTGGGACAGAAGTAACACAAATGGAAAGACTGGAAAAGCTGCAGAGTTAACAGGAAGCCAGGCATTGTCCTGAGCTTCTCTAGACTCACCAGGGCATGCAAGCCCTGGCACGGCCAGGGCCAATGGCTGTGGTGAGTAGCAGGCACTGGGGTGAGGCCTAGATTAATATGGCGTAAAAAAAGTCACGAGGAAGGTTAGAGTGACTTCTACTGTTTTGGCACGCCTCATGTAAAGTGAGCCTTTCAAAATATGTGTAGGTACAATAGAGAGAGTTCATTGACTGGGTGGACCTGGAAGATTAAAACAGGTGAAACAGAAGATGAGAAAATATCGGAGTACATTCCAGGTGGGACATGGAAGTGTTCTTTCTGGTTGTGCGCGTATTCATGTGTTCGGATACACATATGCGTATGTGTGCAGAGTGTTGTGCCTGTCCTAACATGAACCACAGTCCAACACGGTTGAAACCACTACTCCACTGCATGAAGGGCCAGGAGGCAGGAGGTGGACATCTAGCTTCGTGCTGGGCCTCAGGGTTCTGATGTCACCTCAGAGAATACCAAGAGATGGCTTTGGGGAAGTGGAGGTTTTACCCACAGAGCTAGAGTATGCCAGAAACAGAAGGATTAAATTGCTAGTCCCTGTTCTATGGTACTTCACTTATATCCATTCATTACTTACATGAAGTTATA